CAGGAACGCATAAAACATTACAAAAAATTTCATGGAAATTCCACTGCTTAAAAAAAAGCAAAAACATCAGTGCGGTATTTTGGAACTATTTATACATGTTTAACATTTACAAACTTCTTTATTTTACAACACTAACAATAAAAGGAACCCTTCTGTTTTCATCATCTATAAAAGTTTTCGAACGCGTTCGAAAATAACAAGAATAATTTAGCAAATGCGCACGGCAATAACCCGCTGGCAAGGCTATTGATATCTCCCTCTCTCAGGAATTGCTTGAATGCAAGCTGACGCTGAGCACCGGCAGATCCAGAGGGGAAGGGGAGAGGAGCGGGGTGCTTCGTCTTTCGCACAGGCACCAGTGTTTCAAAAGTCCCGGGGTTTAATGCTTAAACTGAAGAAAACTCTCTTCCTCGCTAACCTCTCCCAGGAAGCCGTCTGGATCTACCTGTGATGGTATGTCTCCCTGACATGCGTAGGCACCAATTTATCATCGAAACAAATGAACGAATCGTAGAGGGATTGGTTGTCTCACTGGTAAGGTGCATGAATCCTCGACCTTTTGCAAGAGAGGAATGCTATCTGCAAAATGGGTCATGACCGCCAGCACGTTAGAAACCAGAAGGGAAAAAAACAAAACAAAACAAATTAATAACGATCAAATTTCAACACTTTTTTAACAGTTACTCTACCGGGAATTTTTAAGACAAAATGATCAACGCAAAAACTTATTAAACAATACAATAATAACGGCATGTATTAAAAATACAAACTTTACATTTCATTAAAAACGAATACTGGAAAGGCGGCTAACAAGAAGAAAGATTCGACTGAACGTCTAAGTAGAGCGGCGCAAATAATGGTAAATCTAAAAGCGAGCAGAACCAAGAGATGGTCAAATTCCACCGACAGCAATAAAATGCTGCTACAGATGAAATCTGTTCGAAGTCAACATTTCATGAAAAATAAAAATTTGAAAAATTTTTGGCGAAACAATGAAAAACGATTGTTAACACAAAGAAATTCAGGAAAGAAGAAGTAAACTAACTCATTATAAACTCCGGCCCTGGAAAAAGGATTA